TAGATTGACTTATTGGTACACTAAACGCATCATTAAAAGAGTACTGTCCGTCATCATCTAATTTATGCGTTGATTGTATAACAACAGACTCCGTGTCTTGAGTCAAATTTCCTTCGTGATCAGGTTTATTAAACTGAGCCAGTCGTAATGCTATTTTAGCATTGTCAGATATAACAAATGCGATCTCATCTCCTTTAATTACATAATCTTGAGGATTTAGAAATATTTGAAATGGGTAAGAATGATTAAATAATACGCCTAATTGACTCTTTGCGGCTCCAATAGCAAATAAGGTAGCATCTAGTTGGGTGTATATGATTTCTGAACATTCCAAGAATGTCTTTCCGACAAAATAGTCTGAAAGTGAAGCAGCATAGATTTCGTATTGAGCACCATTAATATATTCGATCGCCCAAGTATTTGCTCCTAAAAAAAAGAAAAAGGATAAATTATATATATTATTTAAATATTTTATAATTCTTTTTTTTTTAATAGCGCAAATAAAATGACAACCTTTAATATGGTTTGCATTGACTTTCAGTTCATGTGCAATTTGGTCCGTAATAGATATGGTAAGAAGCACAATTAGAGATGCAAATCCAGGTGTGACCAAACTTTGTGCCATTAGACCCATGGAAATTTCATCAATACATAAAATATCCTTTGCTATATATATGTTTAATATATAAATTATCACAAATTATAATTATAATTGCAAATAATTTCCAGTCCAATTACCTAATATATCAAAATGAGGAACATTCTCCGGTAAAAGTACTTGAACATAAATTGGCTTATAAATAGCAATATAAAAATTATTAGATTATAAACTAAAATTTTATAAAATTAAAATTTTAATAAATATTCAAACCAGTTCTCGATTGTATTTTTTCAAAGCCTATTATGTAATGTTAATGGTTAGTATTATACAAAAATGAACAGAGAAACGTTTCATGAAGAATAATCCCACGAATCACATTCATTTTACATACCAAGGCTCGTATTATTTGTGCGGCATCATCTTTATCTCTATTACTTGAAAATTTTGGAGATAGTAAAAATGCAGCACTGGCAGTATCTGCTTTAACTTTTTCAAGACTTCTACGAAATGCAGGAGATCTACCAAAAAATATATGGAATTGAAGTTTTTTAAATAAGAAAATAGTAGTAGTTAAAACACAGTGTAAATACCCTTTAATGTATTGGACTCTATTGACAAATGCAGGATCTTCTAATAACAATGCAGTATCATCATCAGGCTTAAAATCAATAAATTATGTATTAGCATAATAAGAATAACGCGTGATATAAAGTACAAAAATATTGTTTAACGTGTTACCTCATCCGGATTCAGAATCAAAGCGAAAGTATTCATAGTGGTCATTCCATGATCTTGACAAAAGAATTCACGTAAAAATTCAAATAAACTCATTGCATCAAAGCTTCCGGTGATTATTATGTGCTCTATATTCTTTTCTGATTTAAACGAATGTTCATATTTTGATTTTTGTTGAATCAAACTGATAAGTTCGGTTAAATGTGTTGGTCTGATGTGATAAATGAGCAAATATAAAAAAAATGCTATTATTCGACTGAAAATGTATACAGTTTATATGAAAACGAAAAGAAAACAAAACTCGATTTTACATGAAAATGGCGCCCATTACCATAATATATAAGATGAGTAATTTAATCCAAAAATTATCCGCCGTGACACTTTTTGTTGTCATACCGGTTGTACTGGTCAAATATTGAAAGAATAGATAAATATACCAAGAATGAATCAAATCACCATTTGATTACATTTGATTACATTTAATAACCTGATCACATACCAGCTTACTATTTCAATAAGAATATATAAGATTAATTACTGATAAGTAAAGTAAACACAACAATTTATACTGAAAATCAGGTCTACGACATACCTACAGTGAACCAAGTTGCATCAAAGTAATCTACGCCTTCAGACATCTCATCATAATATGTTATAATATGAATCCACGAAGAAACAGCAAGGACTGTAAATAATATTGTAGTGCCTAAATAATTTGGAAATTTTAAAAAAAAATTTGAATTATCCAATACATATAATTTGAGTTACCCAATACATATATCTAAAACAATAGGCAACCTACTTATTTTGAGGCCTTTTCTCAAAAGCTTAGACATCTTGAACAATGAACTTTTTACAGGAGTAAAACATAAATGTACAGATACAAGAGCACGAAAGAAACGTAATGGGTAAATATAGACCTTTGAAAGGTAAGAAAAGAAGTTAATCACGTGTCTATAACTAGGGTTTGATAATGGGTTGGAAATTAGGTTCAACTCAAACCAGCTTAGAGTATAAAATTCTAATATAATATTCTATTTTGGCCTCCAATTTAGTAAATTGGTTAGAATATTCCATTTAACATATTTTATAACACTCCAGTCTGGTTAGGAGAATGATACACCAGTAAACAACCCTATTTATAACATTACAAATATAATCATACTAACAAATCTGTCAACACCCATGTAAGTCTTATCCATTTCCCTAATAAAGAATCGGACTATGAAGGCCGCGATCACAGGAAACACAGAAATCCAGGTTGTAATTGCAAGAGAATTTGCTAAATATTGCAAATAGTTTTTTGCCAACCAAACGCGAGGAAGAAACTGAATGAGAATGAGGCATGCCAAAATAAAATCCATAATTCGGAGAATATTAGGGAACTCGTCAACATTATCCTTATTTACATAGTATGTGCTCTGGTTTGTAAAAAATTTAGAATATCTTTTAAGGTCAAAAAAAATTACGCAAGCCTGATCACATTCCTCAGCTATTGAACATCGAATTTCATAAAGTATTTTAGCTATTAAACCTGGTGAAAACCGAATACTTACATAAATATATAATAAAACAAAAACTATGGACAAGAAGGCATCAAAAAGTTCCCAAATTCTCCCTTTTTTTCCCGTATCATATTTATATGCAAGTCTCCGCCTAATACCAGGCGCTTTTCCAGCCCTCTTAAAAAAATCATTTTGACTCTTCACCCAAGCTTCAGCATTTTCAGAGATACGATCGAAATGGATTGGTACGGATAATAAATTAGTATATATTGAGGGTTTCTTTGAAATTGAATAACTTTTGGGAGTTTTCTGTTGTCTATCCGAAGAATCCGACAAATCTCGATTGTAAGCTGCTACCGACTTGCTACGTTGAATTAGTGGTGAATTTTCATCCATCTAAATTTAATTTTATGATCACTAATATAGGAAGAGATAATGATGTAGATGCAAGCGAATAATCATGAACAACGAATTTTTATGATACTACTGTATTACCGAGGCTGAATAAGCATTTATATCTGAATCACACCTGAATTGTGAAACAACTTAAAAAATTTCAACTTGTAATAACGTTTTGGCGTCAAACGCGCTGAATCAAATCAATCTCGTTTCCATTAATGTAGTACAAGATAAAATTTATCATCATCATTGTATATAGTTAATCATTGTACGTAGTTATGTTTGTTTGGCGACTGTTTGTGTCTTGGAATTTTGGGTGTAACACGAATAGGTACTATATAATCTCCTAGTATACTTTTTTCTCCGAACACAAGAAAGTTCTATGTTCAAAATTAGAAGTCCATACTTCTTCTGCTTCGGTGAATACGTAGTAGCAAAGTTATGCTGAAAATTTATTTGAACTAAAATTTGGGTGTGTAATTTGAATAATTTGGTTATATATATATATATATGTCGTACCCCAGATTGGAATTGTCCCGATCTAGAATCGGGCTACCCTGGATAGGAATCTTGTGAATTGTTATGGCAGAATTAAGACTTTAGGGTTAGTGTTAGGGTTAGAATTGGGGTTTATAATAAAAAATTTTTAATTTTGGCTAGTATAATTCGTGCCAAAATTACAACGTATGGGCTAATTTGTTGCAATTGGGCCCCGTATAGGAGTCGGCCAGGGCGGCCCCCCCAAAGTGCCAGTTACACAAGCCGCAGCCGCAGCATATAATATAAAATTATGATTGAAAGTTTGATTTCGAATTTTGAACCATAACGAGATAAAGAAATTAACGTGCATGCCGTCAAACCTTTTAATTCCTCAATAATAAACGAAGTTTTTTTAAAAGATTGTTATCGATATAATATAGTAAATTAAAAGAAACTTTTTACCATAAGAGCCGCTGGATTGCAAGATAAGTTAGAATTTAAACGTGGGATGTTTTGGCGATATTTTCACCTAACAGATACTTTTTAAACTTTTTCATTAGTTAAGTTACTAACTAATTCATTTGGTGCATGTAACTATTTCGTCAAGGCTGATTATACTCTCGGGAACGATTGCAACTAGTTCATTAAAGATGGTCGGCTGTGGTTAATTTTATCTGAACCCAGTCATTTGGTAGTAAAATTTGATATTTTTGATATTCAAATAACATGAAAATTAAACTACTGCGTTTAAGATTTTTTTCATTACAGGATAACCGATTTAATTAGAGCGAATGCTTTTTATAATGTACGATTTGTTGTCATCGCGAATAGCGAAAGTATATTTTATGATAAGGAATTCGAGAAGTCTCATGCAAGAAACATGGATATTTATAAGGAAAAAATGAAGACAAATAACATCAATTTATTCATAGCCATTATCCTTTAAACACACGCTTGTACTAGTTAATTCCTTTATTTTACTTGTATTATATTCAGGAATTAGGTTAATAATTGAATGTATTGTTTATTATTATTCATTTAATTAAAAAAAATGCATTGTTTCGATTTCTTATTACGAAACGTGTATTGTTAGTTGGTATATACTTATTGTATATTGTTCCCTTTTATTTAAATGTTATTCTTGATCAGAGCCGCCAAATTTTAGAAGCATCTAAAATAGTTTAGCAACATTGTTTGTATTAAGATGCGAAATTTGCTATTTTTGCAACAAATATGACTATTACTTTTGTTTACATAAACGAGTAATTACATAAAGGGTCGGGTATTTTGGCTAGAGTGTCCAGACTCATGCGATTTCAGGGATTTTTCATTGTTTAAACAATGAAAAATCTCTGAAATCGCATGAGTCTGGACACTCTAATTTTGGCGTGAGGGATATTGTAGCATACCCATGTTTTTCGACAATAAAGTGATCCTGATCGAATAATTTTAGCACCTCCCAATTCGTCTTATCAAGATGATATTACAGCACATGTGTTATACTAGTATTTAATTTTTTTTTAATTTTTATTATATATTCCTCATTTGGAAAATATCTGGAGGAAGGACACAATAATACAACATGAATAATTAGAGAACTTGACGAAATGATAAATTAAGAACTACCAAGGAGAATCAGGGCTAAAACGACATATAGTAAATGCCGGCCATCCAAAATATCATTTTTGACTATCTAAAATAAAAGTAATATATTAACAAAAACAATAGCATTAGATAGCTAATTTAATTTTTTTTATTTTACTATTGTTCTTTGATCGCAATAATTATGCATTAAGAACAACACTTTGGATGGCCGGCATTTACTATATGTCGATTTAGCCCTGAGGAGAATATGACTACATTAGAATTTATATTAACAAATATAAATTTGCGATAGGTTATTTTGGTAGTTTTGCAAGAATTCACTAAAATGAGAATAAATCGTATTGCAATATAAATCAAACAAATAAATTAATAAAGATCTTACATAAAATCGGTAAACTTATGTGATCTATATTGAACGAACCGCAGGTATGTACCATCACAACCTATAAAAGCATTGACCAAATTTTTTTGATTGCATTAGAATGGAAGTAGACCGAGTTCCTAAATATTATAAATAAAAAGAATAAAAACTTAATAATAAATAAATTAATAATGCCTAATGAAAATGCTTAATCTTAAATCTTTTTCACAAGTGTCAATCATCATTGTATCAATTCTGTAAACTTATATTCCTTTCGCAGTTACATTCTCTGCGAGATTCTTTTTTGTATATAGATTATTTAATAAATATATATTTTTTCTTCTATTGATGTAATTATTTCTATTTACTATTGATTAATTTGTGCAATATATTAAGTTACTTCTTTCGCCTTTATATAAATATAAGCTGGTCTTTCTACGAATTCGTTCAAAAATTCAAGTTTAATATCAAGATTTAATACTTTCAATACTTAAAATCTCTTCTATACTTACCTAAATGAAGTGCAGCAAGTGTAACACCCCTCGTTTAGATAGTCAATTTATTTGGGATGGTGTTCGCCATAAAACATGCTATATATGTAAAAAGAGACGTGATAAGTATAAACAGAATAATAGAAATGTGAATCCAACTAATAATGCTAAATTTATTGATCAACCCAAAGCTACCAGTCAAGAGGTAAATCTGATTGATTCCGTACGTATTGAAATTGATTATCACGAAATAGGAGACTTTATTACAAGTGAGATTCAAGAGCTAACAGCAAGTTCAGACATCGATGGAGTAGCTGACATAGCTTACCAAATGCATCTGTTAGTAAATATGAATGAAGACACTCAAAACATAATAGCAAAAGAAATCGCAGACCTTATAATTACTGAAATCGAAGGAGGGGATGATTACTTGTGGATGTAAGCATAATTTGTTATAGATCATTACTATAGCTGATGTTGAAAATGATTGATGAGGCAAATTAGAAATTAGTTTTTTTTTTAGTTTTTTTTTCAGCTTTCGTTTTCGTCTAATTAATTAGCATATCATCACAGATATCAAGAAGCAGCTATCTCCAAAAAATTTGGTAATACAGTTGGCAGGTTTATGTATTTATGTTGTCAATCAAAAGAGGCCCAGAGTGAAGAGTATAAAGATTCAAATCGCAAGCGGCATATGCGCTTTGATTGTAGAGGCAAAGTTACAATACGGGTAGATGCGGTCCTAGGTATTGTGAAAGTAGATATCTGCCATAGATGCCTTCATTCACGTCCAAATCTCTGTGCTGAGATGCCAGAAGAGTTACAAGAAGAGATTAGAAAATATGTGCATTTGACTACTATTGATTTGACAAACCATTTGCGACGTTAAGGGTTTGACATTTCAAAATACTCGCATAAGCGCATATATTACTAGAAATCTGTAGCCAATCATAATCTTTACCAACGTCACAATGATCCATTCAAATCTAGCTGCAGGCTGCTTGAAGAGTATAGAAGTCAAGATTTTCATAAATTTTTAAAAACGCAGGATGCAGAGTCTACATCCATCGCCTTCGTAACCCCATTGCTAAAGAAGATTAATGATCTTAATATTAAGATTAATGAAGTCTATATAGATGCTACCTATAAGACTGCGCGCGAGAAATATGAACTTTATAGCGTTGTTGTTGATGTTGAAGGAGCAGGATTTCCGATAGCCTATCTCATAATGGATACTACAAGGGTGACAGGTACCAGCACGGGAAAGTGTACCCAAATATTGGAAAGTTTTTTGGAGACTATAAAATCATATAATGTTTGTCCAAATTTCGCGTTTACTGACAAAGACTTTGCAGAGATAAACGCCATATCCAATGTCTAGAGAGTCTCAATAGTTCAATTATGTGAATGGCATATGAACAGGTAATAAAATAAATCAAAATTGATTAATCAATTAGTTGACTTAAAATTTTAAGTCAACTAACTGTTAAATGATTGTTTGCCTACAATAATTTTAATAATAATAAGAATAATTATAATTAATCAATTGAACTAAAACTTGACCAATTATCATAAACTACCGTATACAAGACCTTACTATATGTTAGACCCATTATATACTATACCCAGGTCTATTATAAGGAATAAAGTTTTAATAGAATGTAAAAAACCGGGTATACAAATTTGAAAAATTCTAAATTTCATATATAAATTCGAATTTTAAATTCGAATTTATATATGAAATTTAGAATTTTTTAAATTCGACTCCAACCTCTAGGCCCGGAAATAGTACACGAAAGTTTATGGTAGTCGTAGCTAATTAGGCCAATATATTAAAAATTTTTACTAACATACATCATATAAATAGAGCTGTAAAACGTAAACTCGAAGAAAAAACAAAGACATCAAAAAACAATAAACTAATACCTGTAAATTATAACCCTAATGAGGCGGTTAATGAATTCAGCTTTATTAATCCTAACTTTTACCTATCAGAATCAGACCGTAATCCACAAACATACATTATCTGCCCGCCTGCACATCGTGAATCAATTTTAGAA